TGTACTTAAGTACAGTAACGAAGTACTTGTACTTCGTTACTTCCCACCACTGGTTCAGAAATAATCATTTTACAGTGAAATGATCATTTCTGGTCTCCACAGCGATGCGCAGCCTAAATAAACTCTGATACTAAATTCTACGTCTCAACCAATTCCTTTATGGTTTTACTTCCCAGTTCCTCTCTGGACTCCTTCACCCTTTCATTCCTGCGCTGAACAGTTTGACTCTGTTCTCATGCCAGACTGGAAAACACCTAGAACATTCCTGAATCCATCCACTGACTCACCAGCGGCTCACTGGGTGTAGATGCTTCTCTTTTGGTTACTGCAGAGGTTTTATGGGTTTTACTGTTTGCTCTTTTCTGCCCAGATGATAATGTCAGATTTAGTAATTATACATTAGCAGGGATTAAACCGGATGTTTAATCCGTGTTAAGTCTAAGATTAAAACTTTCCTTTCTGATAAAGCTGATAGGCCGGCTGAGTTTTTCCAGTTCTGCTGCTTTAGGCTGCTGGAGGACCAACTGGCCACTTTCTTCTTCTACTCTCCAGTTTGCATCGTTTTCTCTCCAGAGAAGCCACACCTGCTCTGCGTTCTGATTGGCTATGATGCTGCCATCACCTAATCGTTCTCCCTGTTAATGTTTTACTGTTCATGAACATAGAAAATAATCCTCTATCAGTTTTTCTCTTTCTGTTTTTCTCCTCAAACCTCCAGACGGCCGCTGGTTCTGAGCCCGGTTCTGGTTCTGTTGGAGGTTTCTTCCTGTTAAGCGGGAGTTTTCCTCTCCACTGTCGCCCCCTGCTGGTCAGGAGGAGTGACTATTGCAAATCAACGGTTCTGCTGGATTTCTTTGGATCTTTTACACTAATTTGAATAATTAACTTAAAGCATTGACTGGTGACTGGGATTAATCTGAATGTTTGACTGAGTTAAAATGGCTTTTCTGTGAACTTCCTGGAGAAACGATACTACAGAAACAAACTGAATTGAATCAGCATTTTTGCAGCAGCTGCAGCTTTAGCATGGAGCTAACGTTGGATCTCTGGCAGAACTAGAACATGAATAAAAGAATAAAAGATTTTCATCTGCATAAAACGGACTTTTAGCTAATTTCATGTCGTTTGTCGTCATATTGGGGGAAATGAAGTGAAACAAACTCAGAGCCCTGAGGAACCTCATCTGAATGTTTAACAGCTTAATTCACTGTTTGAACTGAAGTCACTGTTTTTGGAAGACGACCTGTTTGGTGAATTGGCCTACAGAAATAAACTGAACTGTGGTGGAAATTAGCTGGAAGGAAAACCTCCAGAACTCTGCTGGAGCCAAACCTGCATCCTGAACGTTGGCTCAACGTTTCCCCACAGAGAATCAGAGATTGAAGATGAAGAACAGGAAGAACCGAACCGGGTTCAGGCACTGAAGCTGTTAAAGGTTTGGATCGGCACCAGAAACGATCAGGGAATGGTTCTGGAGTTAAATGGACCTAAAGAACTCTGGCAGTCATTTTGACCGCAGGACGTTTAGCTCACATTTCTTCACCAACTCAGATCGGTGGGCAACTTTGGGTTCAGAGCCGAGAGGAGGAACCGAACCTACAACCTTCTGACTGCAGCTCTGCCCGGACCGGACCGGATCTGAGCAGAACTTTGGTTTTCTGTCCAGGTTTTACTGATTTGACTTGAATCTCAAAGTTTCGTGTTGTCAGAACCTCTGACTCTGATCCATTCAAATCAAAGCCTCGGCTCTGTTCCGGAACCGCGTGCGCTCATGCATTCAGAGTTAAAGGTCCAGCGGTGACACAGCAGCGCGGATTCACCGAACCGAACCGAACCTGTCCTTCAGCTTACCGTCTCACCGCCAGCCGTCAAAATGAGACGCAGAAATTAGGAAAATATCACGTAGACGTCACTCTCCTGCAGGTTCCGATCCGTTACGTAGCACCACGGCACCGCGCGCGCCCGAACAGAACCGGATCAGAACCGATACAGAGAAACGGAACAAATCCCACCTGGTTCCTTTATCTCCCATCCTGACGACACCGACGAGCCGACGGAGCCGGACAGCGAGCGATGGGCGAGGAAGAGGAGCAGCAGGAGGAAGAGGAGGGGGGGGGGGATGCCGTCACCGTGGAAACAGAGGGGAGGACGTCTCACAGGAAGCCGCCGTCAGATCAGAGGAGGAAAAAAACCTTCTGATGTCTGAGAGACGCTGCTGCTCCTCCTCCTCCTCCTCCTGTCAGCCTCATTAGCAGGACGGTGTTAAAACATGAGACACCCAGAGGTCTCGTTTTATTTGTGTCTCCAGCTGAAAACTGATTAGCATCAATTCGATCAGGTCAAAATTCACTGAACAAAGGGATCATTTTATTAATCATTTATTATTTTAAAGTTTTTTTCTGTTTTATCAAATATTTAGACATTAAAAACAGCTGTTCAGATCCATCCACCCTGAGGAAAGATCTGCGGAGAACCGCAGGGCTGGGTGTCAGGACCTCACGTTGTTTATTACGGAAGTTCCTCCGACATGACGACATGATGCAGGAATTAAGGTGAAATGTTAATTAGTGTTTTAAATAAAGATTTAAATGAAAAAATAAAATCCAGTTTTTATGCAGATAATCTCTTCATTTTGTGATTTTCTCCTCAGATGCGAAGAAAGCTTCAGCTGCTACAAATATAGAAATTTAATTCAATTTATTTATATTTTAAATGATTCTGTTCAGACATTTAATAAAGTATATTTTTCTCTTGTATGTTTTCATATTTTTAGTTTGAATCTGTTTCCATTTGTTTGACTCTTTGCTGTTTTTGCACCTGGAATATTATAAATCTATAATTTTCAGGCTGATTTACCTTAAATTCAGAGGATATACTGTTAAAAAAACATGTAGATTTTAGTACAAATTAATCTGTAGTTTATGTGAAAAACAATCCTTGTTTTAAAATTCGTTGCGTTTGGATGATTTTCAGTGACGGGTTGACCCCCCCCCCCTCTTCTTCCTGCTGCTCCTCTTCCTCGCCCATCGCTCGCTGTGAAGCTCTGGATGATGGAAACTTCTGAGCAGAACTGAAAACATTTTCACAACCAAACTGATTTCAAAGAATAAAAGTCGACAGATGAAGCTGCTGGTGCGAACAGAGGAACAGTTTGCAGTAAATTAAGGCGCATCGATCGCCTGCAGGTCAAAGGTCATCGTTTGGAGGCAGCAGCTGGTCCCTCATTAACGATGTCGGTGTGAAGCAGCCTGCAGGGCCGGAGCTCATCATCATCATCATCATCACCTGGTGCTTTTCTAAACCGACTTCAGCAGTTTGTCCCGGAGGCGAAGACGAGCGAAAGGACGAAGAACAGAAATCAGTTCAGACTTATTAAAATCATTTTTCATTTTAATTGGACAGAAAACCGCAGAGGAATAACAGCCGCTTTATGATCCACTGGAGAAGAACGAATGGACGCCATATTTAGACAGAAATGAGTTTTCCCAACAGACAGATGGAGACCCTTGGAGATGTTTTAGAAAGCAGAAAGATTCTGGATTTTAATTATGCTTTACGTATGAAAATTTTAAAGTATAATAATCTTGGACTTTTTTCAGGTTGTGGTTTTGTAATTAACGGTTTAAATATTTCTGTATTTCTGTCGTTTTTACAGCATCGTGTTTTTTGTTTCGACTCGTTTCAAACCAGCAGACAAAACAAACCGCAAACATGAACGATGCGAACAGAAAACCGAGGAAAATCCACAAACAGCGGCAGACAGAAAACGCTGAATCTCGAGCCACTGAAGTCCTCCAGGCCTCTAGGCGGAGTCTGGAGCCGGTATTCAACCTTTTATTCATGCTTGGAAGTTAATGTTTCTGCTGGTTTCACTAGAACTGCAGCATTTCTCCTGGTTCCTGTGGTTGCAACATTTTTTGTTGCATTTGTTTTTGAGTTTGTATAATTTTGTGTTTTGCCATTTGCTCCGTTTTTACACCGTAAGAAGATGGACTTACTAATTAATAAAGAGGAAGATTTGTTCAAGTCTTGACAGAAAAAGCGAACGGCGCCATTATCTGCTGCTGCTGTCGGTTTGGGTTACTCTGAGATGGATCCATCAGGTATCAAACACGATGGGTTTGGACCAGATGAGGCGTTTAAATGCTTTAAACTGCGCATGGTTTCCTGGCTGTCGTACAAGTTTCTCCAAGCAACTCATGGAAACTCATGATCATTTTATCGCTGGTCCAACGGAGAGCGGAAAGAAGAACCAGATCAGCAGAAACAATCTGTGAGTTAAATTCTGGATTTATTTCTTTATTTCCGAGGAACTTTCAACTTTCAGGACTCATTAAGTTGAAAACGGCTTGCCATACAGTCCCATTTAAGCTGTATAAATAAATGAAGGATAAAACCAGATGATCCAAATGTTCCCTTTAAACCCGGAAGGTCCAACAGAACCGAACAAAAGGCAGAGCAGCAAAAATACAAATATTTCACATCATCTTCCCTTTTCAACCAAACATCATAAGAACAGAACCGGAACCAGAGACGTTTAATCTGAGAACCTGAGTCCAGACCGGATGAAGAACCAGTTTTGATCTCCACAGCTGGTTCTGATCCAGATCCAGTTTAACAAACACAAATGATGAAACTGGCCAGAAACTGGTTCCAGAACAGAACTGGGTTGGCTTCAGAACCTCTTAAGTTTTCCTTAATCAGTCGAGACCTGGTTCTGTAGAACCTACCCGATCCAAGCCAAGATCTGAACTAGAACCAGAACCTGTTCTGCAGCACCTGCAGAACCAATTAGCTTTGAGTTGAAGCTTCATGAAACCCAAACCCGGTCCAGTTCTGATCCGATCCGAATGTTCTGGTCCGTTTCAGAGTAAAACCAGCAGAACCGGTTTCAGCCGCCAGGGAAAGCTGAACGCTTTGGAGCAGCGCCCTCTGCTGGCAGGACGCCGCAACTGCACAACTCAAAATTATTTTGTTAAAGAAAAAGCTATTTAGTATATTTTAAAACCCACCAGCAGGGGGCTCTGCAGGCTCCTGTTGGATTCCAGGAAATTAAAGATTACCGGTTGAATTTAGACGCGGTAAACAAACGCCGTAAATCAATTAACATGCTACAGGACGCAGCGGCTTCGTATAAAATGGTGTAGCATGTCTGCCTGGCCACTGAGTGGCGCTGTAGCGCTGCCACAGAAGCCATGAAGCAGCGAACGGCGCCATGTTTGTGAGTGATGCGCATGCGGGGAGCTAAGCTCAGAACCGGAAACGGGTCAGCTCCGTTAATTCATCACCATCCTGTAGTATTTATCATTTCCCCAACATTTGAGTCGCATCCAAGTAAACAGGATTTAATCTCGTTATTTTCATGACGGTTTGAAACAACGGATTTAATCAACACAATGTTTCTTTTCCTTCCGCCTCCTGGTGGTGAAGAAGGCGGTAAAACTGCAACTTCAAGCTGCCTTCATTATGCAAATACAATTTAAAACTAAATACAAATCTGCATTTTTCTGAAACGCATTTTACTTATTTATAATTAGACGTGATTAAAACAGCTGAGATAAATTGTTCTCATCTCCATGTCAGGAGCTTCACTCACATTAAACTCACGGATTGGTTTGTAGATTTAGTCTCTTATGTTTTATAAAATAAACTGTTACAGTTAGCAGTGACGCCTGACTGGAGGACTCATTCTGAGACTCAGAGCTTCGCTGCTTTCTACTTACTGAAGGAGAACAGTGCCATCTAGTGTTTGAGAATACAAATTGCAGACTGCAATCAAAGTCCGGGACAATTGGGCTAAAAATACGCGACAGTTGGCAGCCAAAACGATTCTGGAGCCCTGATTCAAAAACTATTGTTTCTGGAAACGGCAGATCTGTGTGGACAGGGTTTTGGTTTGCAGTTTATCTGATGTTTATCGGGTTTTTGGAGCTGTAATTGTCAGTCACAATCAATCAGGAATTGCTCCTCATCGTCTCTCATGTCAGATGAACTCCATCAGCTGGTGAGTCCGGTCTGATCGTGTCATAACCTGGTCCGATCTCAGGAGAACCACTTGGTACCCACCTGCAGCTCTGGCTGTTAATCAGATTCCTTCAGCACCAATCAGAGCAAACTGACTGTCTGCTCCGTAACCCTGAAGTCTGAACGCTGGTTGATGCTCCGCCATTTTTATCCCTTAAATTAAAGAACCAGTTCAAGCTGGGGGAACTTTTAGTTCCTTGGAAGGTTCTGTCTGTAAAGTGCTGCAGAAGACGAAACATTCTTCTGCCCGATTTCCACTCATCTCTGACTTTCAGAGACTTCAAGTTTAAACAGCTGAGGGAGTTTTACCTGTGTCAGGTGAGCACACCTGTCCAGTGAACGCTCCTGATGTCCGTCTGGTCCACTGACTTCAGACGAAGCACCAATCAACACATTCGCTCAAATGTCATTAAAACCTGCTGGTATTTTCCATCCTGGGAGTTTGTTCTACATCTCAAAGTTTAACGGTTTTCATGTTTAAAAAGCTGAAAGTTAGTAAAAAGTCAACGTTCCCTTGTTAAATCTGTTACTGCAGCAAAGGTCTGTTAGAAAATATTTAAAAACTCCAAACTTCCCTTTTTCCCCTCATTACCAAGGGATGAGGGGAAACGTTCCCTGAATCATTTCTCAGACCCATCTATCCTCAGGCCGTGAACTGCTGCTGGATTGGCTGGTTCAAATGCGTGTCCACAGGAAGTCTCATGTGATTGGCCGGTTCAGATGTCACTCCAGAGGACGGCCCGCCGGCTCCTGTCCACGCTGACGAAGTGTTCTCCGGAGAGAGACCAGGACACGGCGGTGATGGACGAGCTGCAGGAGGACGGACGACGAAAAGGAGACGTTAACGTCAGGAAGCTAATCACACTGTTAGCTGCTGCTGAATACTGAACCTTAAGATAGACATTTAGTTTATCTAAACTAAATGTTCAGTTAGCAAGCTAAGCCTTTAGCTGGAAGTTAATTTAGTTGGCAAACTAAACATTTAGCTTGAAAAACAAGCGCCGTTTTTCAAGCTAGCTTCCTAAACATTAGCATTAACATTATTTTGCGTGAAGCATCAGCTTTGCTCTGAATTCTCCATGGAAACCATCATGGATACTGATGGTTCCTGTTGGATTCCAGGAGCCATCCTGAACCAGATCGGCTCAGATGACCGATCTGGACCCAGGCAGCGAGCAGAACCCGACCTGATGACATCATCAGTCAGCTGATCACCTGTGCTGGTCGGGGAGGCGGGCCTCCAGGCCCCCGGTGGAGACGTTCCAGATGTAAACGGCTCCGTCAGTGGACCCGGCCGCCAGGTAGCATCCATCCGGGCTGTGGAGGCCAAACATGACGGTTAGAACCTGCAGAACCAGCATGGAGCTGCTGCTGTTGTCATGGAAACAGCAGAAAAATCACACAGTTCGGTGTTGAACACAGACTGCGATCAGAACTTGCTGTCTGGTGGTTCTGGTTCCATCTAACTAAAGCCTGGTGATACTCTGGTACTGTTTCAGGCCCAGGTCGGGTACTGGACCAATGGCTGGCGCCGGACTGACCTGATGACCGCCTTGGTGCTGTCGCCGCCGCACTTGAAGCCGTCGGCTCTGAAACAGACACAGCCTGCGTCACCAACAGGAAGCCAGCCCAACAGAACCTTGGAGCAGAACCGGGCCGGCTCTACCTGAAGCACATCCGGTCGTTGGTCCAGCGCAGGTCCAGCAGCTGGAGGCAGTCGTCACGACAACAGCTGAGCAGCTGGCGCCGGTCGGAGCTCAGGTCCAGCGAGGTGACTCTGCCCTGAGAGGGAAGCTCCTGAACGCAGTTCACTGTCCTGATGGCCAGAACCGAAACGGACCAGAACCGGGTCAGAACCAAAACCAAACCAGACCATTTAGCTACACTAATGTTAAACCACTAAACAAAAATTTTGCAGATGCGAAGACTAAACAGCCAAGTATAAAAGGATTTGTGGGAGCTAATGCTAAACGGCTACACACAGAAAGAAATTAGCGGAAGCTAATGCTAACTATTAAGATGCCCGTCTCTTTCTCTCCGTTTGTCTCATCTTCATCTCCTTCCAGTTGATGATTAAAATCAAAATGTTGCATGAAACAGATGAGCAAAGTCAAAAACACGTAATGCGGCAAAGTTTATCCATAAAATTTGTAACGTTTTATGACAATAATCGGTTTAAAAAAATGGAGGCCATGTTGGAAATGGTTTATAGGAATATGAAGATGAGGAAGAGGAACCTGCTGTCCCAGACTCTGATCTTGCAGTCAAAATGTCCGCTGATGATGCTGCTGTCAGAACAGACCAGGTCGCTGCAGAACGACGCCACCTCCCCCTGCTGCACACCTGCAGACACAGCGTCCACCTTAAACACCCCGGTACATCTGCAGCAGCTCGGCCAATCAGAGGAAAGAACAGACGGACACTCACAGGCGGCTCTGTTCAGGTCCCAGAGCCGGACGGTCCGGTCGGTGCTTCCTGTCACCACCTGGTGGGGGACGCAGGTGAACCTGGCCGCCGTCACCTTCCTGCTGTGACCCGTCAGAGTCACCTGACCCACAAACACACGTTTGGGTTTCCACCTTTACCAGGTCGCTGTGGCGGATTTCATTTTGGTAGGTTACCTTGGGGACAGAGTCATCCAGGCGCCACAGCAGGGCGGACTTGTTGTGCGACGCCGCCAGGATCCTGCGGCCCTGCGGACACAAACAGGCATCAGCAGCGTTCTGGTGGCGCCAGGTGAGCTCCGGCTGAGGCGTCCGCTCACCATGTGGTCGAACTCCACGCAGGTGATCCCCTCCGTGCTGCCGTCCAGCGTGGCTCTGTGAGTCAGCGACCCTGGTGACATCAGCCAGGTCACAACCACAGGAAACAAGAAACAGACCCGGGTCGGTCAGCTGACCCAACCGGAGCCGCCTTACCTGCCCGGACGTCCCACAGCTTGATGACCCGGTCCGTCCCGCCGGTGGCCAGCAGGTCCGAGCCGAAGCTGAACCGCACCGCGTTGATGCCTTGCTCATGGGCTTCCTATGGAGGACGCAGCTATTACTACGGCAACACCCACCAGTCAGCATGTAAATGCATAAAGGTCGGAGAGGGGCATGCTGGGATACAGCTGAAGATAGAGGAGCTCTTTATGGGGCGCAGAAACACTCAGAGGGTGTTCAAAGGACTGCTTTGAATTACTGACCACAGAGACGAGACAGGTCAGAGACCCAACGAGGTCCAACCCACAGAGACCCAACGAGGTCCAACCACAGAGACCCAACGAGAACCAACGGGGTCCAACCCACAGAGACCCAACGAGGTCCAATCAGAGGGAACTGCTGGTTAAGTGGTTAGAAAATATAATTGGCTCCTACAGTTCTTCCTTTCACCACCAGATGGAGAAAAATGTCAGATTCAGATTCTGCCTGTTCCTTTAACTTGATGTTATTAAATATTAGACGTAATGACGCCACTTGAACCTGATCGATGCAAGTTTTTCTGAATTTACCGTTTGCAGAACAATAAAGGATTTTTCTAATTTGGAGAAATTGTTTGTGGCTTTAATTTTTTCTTTCAGTGATTCATGGGATGACAGAGTGAGATTTTACTGTAAAAACAAACAGTAATATTTGTGTTTTACTGTTTAGCCCTGAATAAAATGAGATAAAATGTTAATAAAATGAGATGATGCTCATCAGGTTAGATTTCACTTGTTTAAATAGACAATGAGGAACATATTATTTTTTCTGTCCTGAAATGTCCAACCTTAAAAAGACACTACAACTTCAGCTGTCTGAAAACTGATGGTTCCTTCATTTCTCACAATCTGAATGGATGCTAGGAAGTTTGATGAGCTAGTTGGTCAATTAGCCTCGAATAATTTACATTTTAGTTTTTGACCAACTGATGAGGTCGTCCTGCCAACTACCTGCAGCCCCAGTATTTCAGCGTCACAGTTTGGCGTCAGAAAGTGGGATACGTCACGTTGACGCCCTGCCTCATCTGTCAACTTCATTATTGCTTCAGTCATTAATATGAGTGGACATGTTGACCAGCAGCAAGAGGCTTTAACTGGGTTCATTCAGTCGACCCTGTACTGCAAAAACACAAAATATGACCAAGTATTTTTGGTCTAGTTCCCACTATAAATACCTTACTACACTTGAAACAAGACAAAACCAACTTACAAGGATATAGAAGCTTGTTTTAAGTAAATAATTATCCTAATTCTGATTTTAAAAGGTTCTTGTTCCACTGGCAGATTATTTCACTTGAAACAAACATTTTTAGGGTTTGGTGTTGAAGTCAACTGGAAACATCTACAGAAAATGTTCAGGCCAACAGTAAAGTCAGGAAAAAGCGTCAGGAATGGAGACCAACATGGAGGTCAGCAGGTTAGGACAGAAATGCATCATGGGGACTGGAGTTTTACCAGGACTTGCAGCGGTCTGACAGGAACTCTGGCTGATAGACAGATTCCAACGGGAAACAGCAGATCCTCCTCCAGGCTGCGGACTGAGTGACCCCTTCTCTTCCTGCTGAGGTCAAGAACTTTCCATGAGAGACACATCAACCAAACGCAAACAACCCAAACCCAAAAAACTCACTCAAACATCTCTCTGATGGAGGAGAAGAACCTGGGCGAGGAGGCCGACGCCGACCTGAGGAGCAGGGCTAGCGTTAGCTTGTTGCTAAAGTCTCCACATCAGGAAGGCAGCAGAGGTTTGGATTAGTGAGACTTTACAGAATCAGACGCAAAGAAGCAGAAATATGAACAATTTAACCTTAAAATAAAAAAAATCTGTTTTCTAACATCTTTAAAGAGGTTCAATACTCCAAAGGCTTGATTAAAAATGTGACTTTTCAATTTGACTCAGTTTCCCTCTAAATGTTACAGTTTTCCTATGAAACACTGAATGAAGACATTAAACTTTCTGTCTGTGTGTTTTCTCTCAGTCTGGGCTGAACTAATGATGTAAATCATTCTGCGATGTGAAAGCTGAAAGGTCGCGGTTGGAAGCGGAGCAGCGCAGCGGGTCGACCTGAAGAGGCGAGTCGCTCCTCGGCCGCCGGACTTGTCCTGATCCTCCGGCTTCGGAGACGTGGACCTGGAAGTCGGAGCGCTGGACGAACGGGAAGACAACGCTCTGAGGTGATTTTCATCCTGTTAAACCTCGAAACCTCATTTATCGTTTAGTGAAGTTCTCACCTGTCGACGATGACCTTTGACCTGGCAGCCGTCTGCAGCTGCTTCTGCACGGTTGCCTGTCGAGCTCTGAAGGAAACAATCATTAAAAAATCTCAAAGCCTTTTCTTGCTGCAGCAGGCGTGGAGCAGGAGCGTTTCCCACCTGGAGCGGCGTTCGTTGCGGTGGTTCATGCGGGCGGCGGCCTGCTTCTTCTGGTGCATCATGTCCTCCAGGACGCGCTCCTCTTTCTCCTTCTCTTCCCTGAGTTTGGACTCCGCCTCCCTCTGACGCTGCAGCAGTGCATCGTACGCCGCCTTCAGCGTCTTGTTCTTCTGTCTGACCTGCTCCACCTCATCCCCCAGAGCCCGTTTAGCTTCGGACGCCTCTGCTAGCTGACCGCCCTCCTTCTGTAGGCTGAGAAGAGAGGAGGAGAAGCGTCTTTAGGCTGATTTCCTCCTGATGGTCCAGAACTTCCTCCAGCTGCTGTGGTTCTCTCTCTCTCTGCTCCGAGTCAAACCAACCTGTTCCCCTCCTGGCCTGTGGGGGCGCTGCACCAAGAACCACTGAAGGAAACGACACAAAAACCTCTGAAGACACTGAGAGCAACTTCCTTCTTCACCAGATGGAAACAAGATGGAGGCGTCAGATTTTAGCGGTTGGAGGATTTCTCTTTAGTCTTTGGCTAAAGACCAGGAGCCATTTCTGCTGCTAGCGCTAGGCTAAAGCTTGTGTTTGTTTTGGTTGAATTTACCCAGAATGCCCTGCACCATGCATCAAATCAAACCAGAGT